TTTGAGAATGAATTCAGTGGACACAGAAAGAGTGTTGGGTAACATTGGACCCCTACTATGCTCTATGGTGAATAGAATTAAGACACCAAGGCTAGAACACAGGTATCTTCTGATTCTTATGAAACTTTGGATAGAGTGCACTAGTGATGTCAATGCTAATGAGACAGACATAGCAGAATAAGTTGCGAGGACAAATGTGCTTCTGGTGATAATCTCAGTTGCAGTGGAGTCTCTACCAGCTAAGTTGGTGCTCCAAAGACTCTGGTTATTAATGATCAACAAATAGAAGTAGCTTCTTTATCAACACATCAATTGACAGCTGAGTATTGAGCATTTCTAACCTTTGTTGCAGCTCATATTGTTTATACATGAGAGCATTGTCATTTTGTTGCAACAATTTTATGTGCATCGATCGGTTTGTCCAAATTATAGCTGTAGTTTTCGGTGTTTAATGCAGAGTATTGAAGGTCTCAATCCCAATAACTTGTTCCAAGATGCTGATGCAAGAAAATCTGATGACAAGTCTAAAGTTCACAGCGACCCTAACCATGTCTCCATCTACGGCATTGTTCAGCATCTCCTCATCTTGTTGGCCACCAAGCTCTCAACTAGGAGTATCTGCAGCAGGCTCATCAGCTAAGAACCAGCACAGGGAAGAATGAGAAACCATTCCATTAAGCTATCTGGAAGGAATTTGTCACTGTTGATCTTCAGGTTCAGAATGCGACCGAAGGTTGGTGAGTTCCATCGATACACATCTCATCATCATCGATACGCATTTCATCATCGTCGATTCATCTATCTATTAATGCAGTAAGAAGGCATTCATACTTGAGGAAAAAGCTTGAGGGAAACAACATCAAAGAGTTAGACATATTTAATAACTCAAAAATAAACTTTATGATATTATTGACGGAAGAATCAATGTTCGAAAAATCTTTGAACTGTTCCAGTCAAGTTTGGTATAATTGAAAAGCACATATTCTGAGGTAGAGAACAAAAGGTTCAAATATGATGCCCATCAAGGAAAAGAGAGTGCCACTATCTAGGCTTTAAAATTCCCTTGATGGACTCTCTATTTAATATCATGTCAATGAATTCTAGTGATGGTAACATGGCACAATGGGACATGAAGCTGATAGATTAGAACAAAAGGTAAAATGACTGCATTCGGTCACTATCAAGTGAGTGAAACAAATGATCCATATTCCCTCCATGCTATACAAATCTTGATAAGCTCTAATGCTAAAGATAGACTAGAATCTTTCTTTGTTTTTCACCACAGAATTTAATCTTAGAGTGCAAAAGATCATTAACCATGCAATCAATTGTACAATCCACATAAGCATTGCAGTCAGCAGTCTTACTGCTCATTCTGTTTCCTTCATTTCTTCCTCTGTTTTCAGAAACCTCAGTTTCCTTTTGGTTTATTCATGATTAGCTAAATACTTGTTATATTATTTTACTCTTAGAAAACACATTTGTTAGGATTCAGTGCATTTTGACAAATCTCCAACTAGTTACCCCTTTCTGCTTGATGGAGAAGGCTTCTCTTCTTGGAGATGCTATCAAAAATCTACGAGCATTTCAGGATAAAATGAAGATCCTTGAAGACCAAATCTCGTATTTTGATGATGAAATCAATTGATAATTATTTATGATTTAATCTATGTTTTGAGTGACGCAGGATGCTTCGATCAGGATGAGATAATTAAAGCAGGAAGAATCATGTTGGGCCGGAGGAACATGTCAGAAGATTGGACGTCGGGCCGGAGGATCAGTCGACGTATCGACAGAAGGCTTCGAGCCATGGATTCGGGCATCGGGCCAAGAAGAGCGGATATTGCGCCAAGGATATCGGAGTTGCGGAGTCAACTGGCCGATTGGACAATAAACCGCAAGAGAGGACGATGCGCCGAAGAATCGGATGAAACGTCGAGGGACCAATGACATGCCGGACAACATGATTAATGCTTAGTATTAATTATCTAGATCGAAGTATGTTTTTACATGTGCAGGATTAACTATGATAGCAAGGCATGAAGCAAAATAAAGTCCCGGAGTCAAGGACGTGATTTCGTTGGGAATTCAAGAGTTCATCGGAAGTCCGGACGTTCGTCGGAAGTTCTGACGGAACTAGCCGAGAAGTCTCGGAGCTTGCCAAAGAAGCTTGTCGGAACTCGCCAAGAAGATCGTCGTGAAGTCCAGGAGCTTGCCGGGAGTCCACTTGAACATTGCCGAGAGTTCGTCGGAAGTTCACCGGAAGATCACTGGAAGCTCGTCGAAAGAATAGACTTACTGACTTGTTTAGCTCAGATCATGTCTTAGATTTCGTAGTTAGCAAGTAATTGGGTTTGGATTTGGGCTAACCCAATTAGAGGCCAACTAAGCCCATGTAAAGACTGTGTTGGACCCAATAAGAGGCCCAAACAGTGCCCCAAGAAGTCTCATCGTCGTGGCACAGTCTTCGAGATTATGTCAAGCGGTGGTACCGTCAGTCTAAGCGGTTATACCACCCCTGGCAGGGTGCCAAGCGGTGGTACCGCCAATCTGGGTAGTGTTACCGCCCAACACTACCCCCAAGCGGTAGTACCACTAGACTTGGTAGTGGTACTGCCTAGGATAGTGTTAGTGTCAGACTGACACTGGGCGGTGGTACCGCCCAGCGTAGGCGGTGGTACCGCCCGTGCCCGGGGAACCCGGGATGGGAAAATTTTAGACTCCAAGTTTGAATCAACTTGAAACCTATAAATACCCCTCTCATCCCTGGTTAAAGCATACAAGCAGAGAGTTTAAAAGTAGAAAAATGCTGTAGAAATCTCTTGTGAGAATCCTCCTCTAGTCTAAGTGTTGGAATTTTGTAAGAGAGGAGTGAGTGCTTGTAAGGATTGTCTCCTAAACCCGATAAAAGAATAAGATGAGTGTAAGAAAGAGATTGATCTTCGCCTATTAAAGGAAGATCGATATTGGATGCCGGTGGCCTCGACGGAGGAGGAATCAGTGTAGTAGATGTAGATCACGACGACCGAACCACTATAAAATTAGCATATTCTCTAGTTTGCATTTACTTCTTGTCATTTACATACTACAAACCGAATCTTTACTTGCCTACTGCATTCACTTCATAAACGTACGCTTTCAAAGTTAAAGTTTCTTAAATCGGTTTTCATCGAAATCGATTTTAGTTTCAAAAGTTTTGAAGACGTGATTTTACCGCTGCACTAATTCAACCCCCCCCCTCTTAGTGCCGACCCCAGTCCTAATAGCTGCAAGGAGGAGTGCAGGAGCAGTGTTTGTATCATTCAATTCATTATTGTGCTTCAAGGGCCTCTAAATCTTTTGATTTCCTGCTTCGTGAGTATGTATTTACTGTTGATTCTTTCATCTTCTTTGATTACTTGATAGCCTTCAAGACTTGCTTTGGCATGCTGATTGTAGAGGAGCTATCCACGACAACGAAGGATGCTGTGAAGATGATTCGCTCCTTTCTTCTCTCACTAGCTTCTGTAGCAGAATGCACAAGATAGGCTGGTTTCAGCTCATGGTTAACTTCCTGGGAGTCTTTGTACTTTCTTGACATGAGACCTCTCGTCCCATTCATTGCCCAAAGATGAAGGATCACCACTTTACCCTGTTTTTGGCTGCGTGTTCTTGCTTCTTGATTGATTTCTTTTCTCTGTGCTGTTTCTGCATGGTTGATCCACTTGACCATGTCTTCCGGAGACGAGACGACCTTTGAACACCCTCCTCCTCCATCCCTTTCTACCTAGTGGTCTTGACTGATGAGCTCGACTTTCCAAACCTGCTCTTGTCCATCTGCATTCTTCTTCCTCTCAATCTTTTGATGGATGGCCTGGTCGTGTCAAAGAAGTTGAGTTGGCTCATTTTGAGGCTATCAATCTCGAGGTTGTCACCTTCTTCTTCTTCTTCTGATATCTTTGCAGAAACATAGAATTTGGTAGAATTAGGAGTCGTTGTTCGACTGACTGGTCAATGGAAATGATGAGATTTGATGTGTGTTTGAATTAGGTAGAAGTATAAACATTGATGTCGAATGATAACAAATTATCCCAAACATCGAGACAGATTACATCATATTGCCTTCTTTGAGAATTCATGGCAGAAGCATAATTTTGGTATCCTCATGAAGTTACAGCAAGTTTTGGTCAAACATGAAGGTGGATAGCACAGGTTGACCAAAATGATACCAGAATGTCAAAGTCTATTCTCAAACTTCAATTGATTTCATGGTCTGGTAATTTACCAAAGATCTTACTGTTCCATTGATCTTATCCCAGCAGCTCAGTCAAAGGGAGTATCATATATAATTCACCTAAATATAATCTCTTTGTTAATCATTATTTCATTTTCTTATACCCAAAAAAAAAAGAATCATTCTTTTGACAAAGAAGAAACATAAAAAAATGGATTGTGAGATTTGGCCAAACAAATCTTTTGGTGAAATTCCAACACCCAACCCACCAAAGCGCAAGAGAGAATTGATCCTCTTTCTAGGAAAGAGACCTAAAAGCCCTCCACTCATGGGGTGGATATCCATAGTATTCAAAAGTTAAAGGCAAAAGGAGGAGGTCAAAAAGGTCAATAAGGTGGAGTCTGATCTCTAAAACCCACATGTCCACTACAAGGAGAACAAGTCCCTCCTCATCCAGCACAGAAACGCATCACCTCCTTTGAATCTTTTCCTCATTGTTCTTTGCTTTGCTTCCAAGGAAACCCCATGCATGCTTGCATGCATGCAAGCCTATCCCCCCTCTCTTCACTGCTTCCCATAGAAGCAAAAGGGCATCGCTAATCCATCAGTAATAATCCACCCTCTTCTCTGTTGGCTTAGCAACTAAGTCTCCAATGAAACGCAGCAAAGCGTGTTGTCGCCATGTGCGCAATGACTTCTCTATCCTTTACGTGCATAACTCTATATTACTTGATGTGTGTGCGTTGAGGAGTGGCATGTCCGTTATTTGCTGACACGTCGTAGGTTTTTCTGTCATAAGACGAGTCTTCTTGCGAACCACGACGAACCGGTATAAATACGATGCAGCAGCGCCGCCAACATCTTGCCCCCCTCCCTTCCGATCCCGTTTGCTCGAGCGATTCCTTCCGCGTTCCGTCCATGGCCAAATCAAACGCCCATCTGTTGATCCCAAGAACCGCAGATGGAACCTCACCGGCCATCGCCGGCTTCGGAACCACCAAGAACTTCGCGGAGCCCCCGCCGCCGGTGCCACCGTCGACCACCTCGGTCCAAGAATCCAAGAACCTCAAGAAGAGTGGCGGCCCGGCGAGGTTCCTCCTCTTCCGGGGCGGCTCGTGGATCGACTTCCCTCCCGAGGTGTTGGATGTCTTGAGGGACGGCCTTGACGCCGGCAGGATGGCTCTCGAAGTCCCCGTCGGCGGAACCTCCTATCTCTTCGACTTCCTTCGGATGACTCGGGTCGATCTAAAGGACGGCGTCTCGAGTTCCATCGGGTGGATCGACGCGGACGGGCGATGCTTCTTTCCCCGAGTGCTTCTCGATGGTCAGAGGAACAGTTCTTCCTTGGACAAGGGGAGAGAAGGTTCGTCGGAATTGCACCAAGAGCATTCTGATGAGACTCCTGAGACGTCGACAACCACGAGTTTAGATCAACCGAGGGAGTGGCCGGGAGCGGAAACGTTGAGTGACGGGGATCGACACTACAAGGTGGTGGAGAAGCTGTTTCTTGATGGAATGAGGAGGTTTGACCCCAACGTGACCATCACCTCCGTCCGTAAGTGTTTGCACTCGAGTTTCCGCGGCAACTCCCGATTGGAGGCCTTCCAGACGCTGATTCAGACGACGAAGGCAGCTCGGGGCCACGAAAATGTCAGGTTCGGTTGGTACGGGACGACGGCGAGTGATTTGGCCGTGGTAATCGGTCACGGCTTCGGACGGACCAACAACAGCCTCTTGGGTTCCCATGCCCACGGCGTCGGCGTCCACCTCTCACCGCCGCATTCTCCGCACTCGAGGTAATTAACCCATCACAGTCCTCCGATCTTGATCACGTTGGTCGAGCGCGATAACCCATCACGTTCCAAACTTCCTCCAGCTCTACGTTGTCGGAGGTTGACAGCAACGGCGACCGGCACATCCTACTGTGCCGTGCCATCATGGGGAAGTCGGAGAAGGTCGAGGCAGGGTCACTCCAGTACCACCCCAGCAGCGACGAGTTCGACAGCGGCGTAGACGATCTTACCACCCCAAAGTGGTACATCGTGTGGAGCACTCACATGAACGCCCACATACTTCCCGAGTATATCGTTAGCTTCAGGTCCTCCTGCCACCAATCTCAAGGTATTCTCGCACACCATCACTGTTCTGCCGGTTGTCTCTACGGTGAATGGTATACTCATGTGGTGCAATAGCAGGTCACGGGAGAAGGATGAGCTCAAGGAGAAGGCCTTCGATCTCCAGCACGTCATTCTCTAAGCTGTTTGCAGAGATAGCGAAGCTTCTCCCCTCCTCCATGTCGGCAATTTTGGGGATCAAATATAACCAGTTCAGGGTAAAGTCTAACACAGGCCTTTTGTCTTTCTCAGCTTCCGGGCTACATCTTTTAGTTATATCTTCTCTCTTGCAATTCTTTTCAGGAAGGCAAGATTAGCAAGGAAAGCTTCATCAGATATCTGAGATCCACTGTGGGAGACAAGCTACTGATTTCCACAATCAGGAAAATGTATTCTTGAAGCAGCTCACAATACTGGGAGTAACATTTGCAGCAATATTAGTTGCAGATTAAAGTAGAAGAAGCTTGGAACGATAGCGAAGCATTGTTTCCTTCCTGGTTATAAACTGTTTCAAGCATCATTATGATGCCGATGTGTGGTTCCTTCTTGTTAATGAAAGCAGTGTGATGCAGTGAAATGAGACGATGTTCTGTTTAAATGAGAGCAGAATCATCATCAGTTCCATCTTCCAACGTTGCCAGGACAATCCATCGATCCTAACAAAACGATGACAAAACAGCAAGGGAAAGGAAGAGGCCAATTCCCTGGACACAGTTCATGGCCATCGCCTGCTTTTTTGGTAGCTCGCGTCAAAGATGGAAGAACAAAGCGAGGAAGCTTTCCCTGAGAAGAGCCTTTTGGAATCGAATGCCTATTTCCTTTCACAAAGAAAGCAGAACAGGATTCCAAGAGCCGGAGGACCACTGGCTCTGCACAACTCATGCTTCCACAGGAACAGATGTACTTCGTTCCTGCCGCTAATTGATTGGAAAAGCTGTCAACTCACCTCGCCACCGACTTAGGAAGTCATCTAAGGGAAGGCTTGCATATAGATTTTGGAGCCGGGCGGCGTGGCACCACTTTCCCAACCCTATCATCTTAACCAACAACGTATGGAGTCATCCCTGGCCTAGCCAAGAGTTCCTACGAAACATATTATCGCGAGCATCCTATGATAACGTTGTCCTTAAGAACGTTAGTTATCATCATCAATGATCTCCTGACAAGGTAAGAGACATCCTAACCCATCACTAACCTCACATCACCTGTCGTTCAAGCATAAAACCTAAGCCTCCAAGTCAAATCGGGGTAAGCATGCTTCATCTAAATTCTTCTAGGCTCTATTAAATCTCATCCACCTACTCTACTGATTTAAGCATCGAAAGGATCAGGTTGAGACATCCCTCGACACCGATCGCGTATGCAAGACCTAGAAACATCTAAGAAGCACCTCAAAGTGATATTGAGTACTTTCAAAAAACCAAGACATATCTTAGGATGACCCTGAGCTTCCTTCAATAGATAAGTCGCTCATTGAGATAATTATGGATCAGTCGTTAAGAACATGTAACATCTCTTAAAATTCACCTGTTAGCTCAGTTGCTTGCTCGAATTGTCTCTCCCACTTGGCACGATCCTAGGATGGATCCATACTTTCGAGACTAAACCAAACCATGTTGACTTTTTGATCAACGACATACAACAATACTAATAAAAATATATTGATTATGTTCGAGCAATATATAAATTTAGAATATCATAAATAAAAAATAAAAGTTTTTAATTTTATTTTTGCGAAATGTAAATAATATAGAAACAATTACGAATTATTTATAGCACGCCATATGGACCTGGAAAGCACTCGAGGGGTGATTCAGATAGCCTGCTTGCCAAATCCGGGGTGATGTCATTCCTGAAGGACTCCCGGGTGACTCGACCATGGTTCCATGATGCGCACGCCACATTTTATCACAGGATGACGTCGTAATATAATGAAGTTATACGGGAAAGGAAACGTGAGAGACTGGAAGCCCTCGATCCCCAATTCGACGATTCCCCTCCCTGATTCCAACCCAATCTCCTTTCCGGCGTCGGCCTCGGCCTCCGCCTCCGCCGCCTCGGATCCCTAGATAGGGCCCTGCCGTCGGGGATACGCCGGAGCCTCCCCTGGCCTTTGATGAGAAGGACGCCCTGCCGCCTCAAGCCATGCCGGAGACCGCTGCCGTGAACCCAGAGAAGGAGCTCGCCCTCTCGCCGACGAGCTCCCGGTCGGTGACGGAGACCGTGAACGGGTCGCACAAGTTCGTGATTCAGGGGTACTCCCTCGCCAAGGGGATGGGCGTGGGCAAGCACATCGCCAGCGACACCTTCACCGTCGGGGGGTTCCAGTGGGCCATCTACTTCTACCCCGACGGGAAGAACCCCGAGGACAACTCCGCTTACGTGTCCGTGTTCATCGCCCTCGCCAGCGAGGGCACCGACGTGAGGGCCCTCTTCGAGCTCACCCTCTTGGACCAGAGCGGCAAGGGGAAGCACAAGGTCCATAGCCACTTCGACCGGTCGCTCGAAAGCGGGCCGTACACCCTCAAGTACCGTGGCAGCATGTGGTAATTGCCGCACCGCCTTCTTGCCTTCCTTTCTTTTGCTCCCAAAATTTCTTGACATATCAATATTTCTAAAAGGAGGTCTCTATATTTTCTTGGTTCTTGTTGTTTGTGCAACAATAGGTTGTGAGGTGTGTTAGACCCTGAATTGTTATACATGGGCTAAATTTTGCTGGCAAATGTCTTTTCACCTCATGGTTATCTTCCTATTTATTATGATTTGGTATGATAGTGAGCCACAATCTTGTTGTGGCGAACTTGTAGGTAAGTCTATGATGATCTTGTTGGCTAAGAGTTGCTCAATTAGTGCCTCTAGATGTTATGGTATTCTGATACTTGGCACATCTTCATTGATTAGGGCTGCTGTATTGTCAAGTGTCTTTTGCATAGAACATGCTATTGACAATATTTGATTTAGTCTCTTCCTTCTCTGATAGTTGTAGCTTTAGTAGACAACTATGATTGCATTGTTATGACAACCTAAGCCTCCATATCAGTATGTAAGGCTTTATGGCTTTATTTAGAAGAAATATCCCAACAATGAGAAGCACATGGCGCATATATGCACATAAAATGCTGTTTCACTGAGATTTTGGTTATTCAAATACCATCCCATGGGAACAATGATGCTTTATACAGGTGTTGTGATTCGTTCAGCATTTTTCAAATTTCTGCACTAGAATGATATCAATATTTACCGTTTGAGGCATTTTGCAAGGAATGTTATAGCTGCATACATCTATGGTTTTGTCTTAAATATCTGTTTTTGATGTAGTTATTTGTTTTAACATCTTCAGGGGTTACAAGCGCTTTTTCAGGCGAGCTGCTCTTGAAACATCGGATTATCTTAAGGATGATTGCTTGAAAATTAATTGCACCGTTGGTGTTGTGGTGTCTGTAATGGATTCACCTAGACTGCACTCCATACAAGTTCCAGATTCTGATATCGGAATGCATTTTGGTGCACTTCTGGATAATCAGGAAGGTTCTGATGTTATTGTTCATGTATCTGGGGAAAAATTTCATGCTCATAAATTGGTATTAGCTGCAAGATCCCCAGTATTTAGAGCTCAGTTTTTTGATGATTCCGATGGTCAGAAGAGTGATATTGTTGTTGCAGATATGGAACCCAGGGTTTTTGAGGTAAGAATTACTATCTGGCATTTGTTTGGCTGCAGTTGATGCCTGATACTCGACCCCACTATGCTCTGATGTGCAGGCGATGCTGCATTTTATCTACAGAGACACTTTTATAGAGGATGACGTTCTTACCACTTCAAGTTCTCCTGAATCTTTTGCATCTGACACATTGGCTGCAAAGTTGTTGGCTGCATCAGACAAGTATGGCTTGGAGAGGCTTCGACTTTTATGTGAGGCACATCTGTGCAAGGATATATCTGTGGACTCGGTTGCCTGCATTCTTTCACTGGCTGATTGTTATCATGCCACAGAACTAAAAGCTGCTTGTCTTAAATTCTCTGCAGAAAATCTTGGAGGTACTTAGCTTTTACTGAACTTGTGCATCATTTTCATTTGTAGAGCATAAGACTAAATACATCTTTTGAGTACATGTATCATTTCATTATTATGTCCAAGGAAGCCCTTATTGAAATTTATTATGCATATGCTTAATATTTCTCTGCAGTTTCATTTTGGGTATAATTCTTATTTGAATTCATTTTGGCTAGAACCTTGTCCATGCAAGGTCAATCATAAGAAATGAAGGGATTTGTAGTCTATGAATTTTGACTTACAAATGACATAGCAATATCACATGCTAATCAACTTGTTAGGACTTTGATTCACATATTTGCCATTTTTCCCTTTAGAACCTACCAAAAATCTCACATACCTGTATGGAGCCTAGATGTTGTTTTCTATTTAGAAATTGGAAAAGCTTTTTCTATTTCGAGTCTTTTTTGCTTCACTATTCAAGTATGAGTTCCTGTGCAATATTTAAATATAGATTAATAGCAAGGTATGCAATATCGTATCGTACCGGTGTTTCGAGGTTGGCTCGGTATAGTACGGTACCAGTGTATCGAGCGGTATACCAGGACTTATCGAGTGATTTCCTCTTACTGCAACACTGTAGCACTGCTACAGTGTAATATTGTAGTACTGTAGCAGTGCTATAGTGTATTACTGTATCATTGCAGTACGGTCCGTCCTGTAACGGATGGTTCGCTTACCGGTATGCCGTTGGACCGGTACATACCTCCCGTACCGGTATTTCGACATGAGCTCGGTACCGGTGCGGTACGGTGTACCGAGCTGACACGGACTTAGCTGGTTTTGCCTAAGTCGTGCGGCACCCTTGCGTGTCCGTCCGCAAGGGTCAGCCTCCCCGAAGACTCCCATTGTCCCTTAGGACCAACAAAAGAGAGAACAGGCAAAAGAGAACGCCTCAATTGGGATCCACAAGCAAACATGTCCGAAAAACACTTCATAGACAATGCAAATTACAAACAGACTTTACAAGCTCTGAACAGTGGCACAATAAAGGGTAAAATGGTCCATTACAGACCAAAAAGCTCTCGCACGTGTCCACATGACACAACCTTTATTTACAAGCCTAAAGAGGCCACCACCCAACTAAAATGGGACTTATAAGCCTTCGGCCGCCCCTTTACATTCTGTACAGGGCATGAACATGCCAAAAGACACGGACACACATAAGCATTACATCCAACATCTTGTTGAGAAGTTTGTCCGTGACATTCTCCCCCACTTATCCCTTCGACGTCCTCGTCGAAGCCTTTGTGAACACTGCAACTCTTCGTCTTTGCTGAGTTTTCAATCTTCTGCTCCAGCTGCAATGCGCCTCCTGGCTCCCAACTGCTCTCCGCTACTGTTTTTGAGTAGTCGAACCATTGATCCGCCATGCTGCTTCAACTCGCCAATGACTC